ACATGGTTGTTAAGAATGCTGCATAATAATTGTAAGATACAAAGATATTTTTAATGAGAAGGGGGAATTGAAAAATAAACAGGAATTGAATAGCCAAGGTATAGACTTAGCATGGTGGCCGCATGTACAGATACAATCTAGATATTATAAAGATGCTAAAACATATGGTTTTTATAAATAACCAACAGGATTGGATCAAATCTTAATGGGATTGGAGGAGAAACTAATTAAAAAGAGCCTTGGTAGTACAGTGGTCTAAGGCACCCTGTTATTAAACTGGTTATTAAGACCAGCTGCCTGCAATTACTGCAGGTTCGAATCTCGCCAAGGCTCAAGGTTGACTCAGCCTTCCATCCTTTCTAAGGTAGGTAAATTGAGGACCTACCTTGACTTTGTATAAATATACAAAAGAATGAAGGCTATTGCTTAGCGCATTGTAAGCCGCCCTGAGTCTCCAGAGAAGGGCGGCATATAAATCAAAATAAAAAAAAATAAAAAAAAATAAAAATATTCTATAATTATCTACTGACTATTAGAATGGAAGAGGAGCAAGTAAAAGTAACCATGATAGCATGGACTAAAAACTTTAGAGTATTCTACAGAATCTGACAAATGGCAAAAGTTGTGGGATAGAAACTATAAATTGACAACGTCCATGCATATAAAGAAAACCTATACAAAATGTTTTATAGATGGCACTTCCTCCAGTAAGATTAGCTAAAATGTTTAAGAATATGTCTGCCAAGTGTTGGAAGTGTAACCAAACCCCGGGCTCATACTACCACATGTGGTGGACATCAGCAGTCATATCGTCATCGCTACCGGCTCGGCGGAACCGGGCCAAACCAGGAGGAACCCACCACTGATGTGGATGTAGTTCCATTAAGGATTATACATTGAGTGCGTTTGTCAGCCAGTTACAAACCTATCTGCTGATGATGCTATCTCTCATTTTTTTAGCTTAGCAAGAAATAAGTTGTGATCAACTTTGTCAAATCCAAGTATATTATCTCCAAGTGCACTATGTCCAAGTATATTATGTCCACTGCATTTTGTTGGTCCACTAATTCAGTCACTTTGCCAAAGAATGAAATAAGATTTGTTTGACATGATCTGTTTTTGACAAACCCATGTTGGCTACTGGCTATAATTTTGCTTGCTTGTAGTTGCTTGCAGATTTGGTGCTTGATTATCTTTTTTAGGATCTTCCCAAGTATTCATGTCAGGCTTATTAGTCCCTGGTTTTTTCCCCTTTTCTTGAAGATGAGAACTATATCAACTCTTTTCCAGTCTTCTGATAATTCTCCAGTTCTCCAAGATCTTTGAAAGATATGGCTCAGTGGTTCCGATATCTCTTCTGCTAGCTCCTTCGGTATTTTAGGATGCAATCCATCAGGTCCTAGTGATTTGAATATTTGCCCATGGAAAAAGCCAGCTTCCAATAAGACATGAGCTCTATACAGTGGTGGGTTGGCCATGGTTCGCACCAGTTCTATAGAAGCAGTAGTAAAACCGGCGGGAGGCTCCGCCCACTGACCCCGACGTCATCAAAACACTTCTGCGTATGTGCAAAAGCTTCTGCACTTGCGCATGGCCCTGCTGCAAACCAGTAGTAAAGGTAAGTAGAACCCACCCCTGGCTCTGTAGACCAGGTGCTAAGCTTAACAGGCATTATTGATGCAGGATTCTAATGAGGGCTCAAAACAATGGCCATGTTCATAGACCTAACTGCAGCATATTATCCCCTGCAAAAATCTGTCAATTAATTAATAACATGCTGAGTCCTGTCAGATAATAATGGGGGGACAACATAAGTAAGATTAAACAATAGCTTCTCACAATGGCTTCCCCAAAATTTCCCAGTGGAATTTTTTTCCACACCCATTCCAATGTCACCACAGACCCACTTGTTAAATTTCTTTTTTCAATTTTCTGCTCTAGATGGAAACCTTTTGCTTCTAAAGTGATCCCTTTATTCTCCCTCTCTGAAACACGTTTCTTCGGTTATAGAAAGCAGAATCCAGTTTTCATTCCTAATATTTCAGCTGTGCTTGAAATAGCAAGCTTGATAATAAAATACAGAATTTGTTTCTTTTCATTCAGCCAAACATTATATTGCTAAACAAACAAAGTGTATTTGTTGAACATAGAGGCACAATTTGCCCCACCCTGCACTGCAGTCATAAGATACATTTTCCTCTCTGCTGACTCAGAGGCTTCTCACTCTCTCCTCTCAGCCACTATCAGTTTAGAAAGGCAGATGTGTTTGCTAGCTTATTTATTAGCTACCCACTTGCAAATTAAATTAACTCATTTTTCAAAGCTTTCCGTGGGTTCTGGAAAAACAACCCAGTACAGCTGGGAAAGTGGGAAAGGAAAAGGTCACTTTTTTTATCTGCAGAACTAAAGAAAGAATGGTTTAAGATTGCAACATCAAAACCAACAGCCAAAAACATGAGAATGAGGTTCCCATTTCTAGTTAAGAAGATTAATGTTTATAAGTGTAGCTGTTTAGTTTTCATGAGTTTAGTTATATGTTCTATCCTGTTTATATTTGTTAAACAAAAAAATTACATGAAATTATTGTATACATTTTCTCCTAAACTCTGCACTTCGGCGTGGGTTTGAGGTTTCCAGAAAGTATATACAATATTCTTAAAGGATACTCTAAATTTGTACACACTTAAAATATGAATATAATAGTTTATTTCATTTATTTTTTTATGGTTTTTAATTAAAAAAAAGGAGTTGTACTTCTGTTCTTTTGAAGGTAAATTGTGGCATTTTGCTTTTGCTAAACTAAGAACACTCCTAGAAAACAAAGCAGTAAGGGGACATTATCCAAACTAAAAGAATAAAGGCATTCAGAGGTTCAATATGTAAGTCCATCAATTCAGGTCACCTAGCCCCACATTAAGCATTGTCTAGGCTAGGCAAATACAGGTATTCCTCAACTTTGAGCCCAAAATTTCTATTGCTAAGTGAGACATTTGTTAAGTGAGTTTTGCTCCATTTCACGACCTTTCTTGCCACAGTTGTTAAGTGAATTATTGCAGTTGTTAAAATAGTAACATGGTTGTTAAATGAATCTGAATTCCCTATTGACTTTGCTTGTCAGAAGTTTGCAAAAGGTGATCACATGACCCCAGGACACTGCCACCATCATAAATATGAGACAGTTGCCGAGCATCTGAATTTTGATCACATGATCATAGGGATGCTATAATGGTTGTGTGAAAAATGGTCATAAGTCATTTTTTCAGTGATATTATAACTTTGAATGGTCACTAAATGAACTGTTGTAAATCAAGGACTACTTGTAAATCATTTTGATTCCCGAGCTATTTTCCTCAGTTGAAAAGTACAACTGAAAAGATGCATAGAATGTAGTTAAACATATACTGCTATTACTGTATTACTTTTCATGAAGTAATTAGTTATGGGAATGAGTAATGAAAGAAACTGAAGGAAAATTATCAGGCAATATGGACTGGATTTCTCTGCTGAACTCATAATACATATTTCCCTTCACCAAAAAAAGGGATTATATGTACCACCCATTTAGCACTTTATCAGAAAAAAATTATATTTTCCACCAAAGTAGGCTTCAAGATGGCATTGATACATACAGCCTCCTCTCATGCCTATCCAACTTCAGTAACCATAATTCTTACAAAAATCTTCTGTGTGGCCAAATAACATTAGATGACGTTGAACTGAAATGCCATTATTTGGCCATAATCTTTATTACTGAAAGATTGTGACAGTATCATAATTAATGGAGTTAATGCATTTGTTTGGCTTTGTGGAGGCATTGTTGAACTGTTTATTGTTCTAGCAGTTTTGGTCTCTATAGGCAACCAGGCTTTGGTCTTTGGTCAAGAAGGCTGTCTGTTTATGTCAGTTTTAACTTTTTTAATTGTTTTGGGGAAGGGGGGTGTTAATCACCCAGTGTCTTCTGGAATGGCCAGCATATTAAATCTAATCTAATTAAATGTGTTATTACTACATTTCTTATGATGAAGAAGCCAGCTGCAATATATTGCCACTAACAATATTTAAAAGCCTTGTCAGAAATTAAATGTGATAATCAGACAAAGCCTAAAATCAGCAGTCAGGAATATTAACCATTTTCAGGGAATTAAATGTCTTTTGCATTGCATGTCTAATCTAAGATAATATTCATCACAAAAACAAAATATGTTAAATTTAGAGCAGCTTCTATAAAAATTACATTGTTTCCAGAATCTGAGAGTCCTATAAAGTTTCTTCTTTCATGATTTTAGAGGTTCCTTAAAATACAATTTTATTTCATTAGACCTTCAACCCTAATTAAAATTTTTGGTAATTTATCTTGATAGAGGTAGGGGTTAATTTATTATTACTATTGAGTTTAATAATTTTGCTTTTTTATCTATTATTACTTTTGTAGATTAATGTGTTTATTTTATTCACAGTGTAATTTGCTCGGAATTTTTAAGGTTGTCTGAGTAAGATGGGCTATAAAAACTGCAAAATAAATACATAGGTCATAAAATATTTAAAAAATGAAATAGGCTACCATTTGTTGAAACAACATAATCAGAAATAAGAATGTTTTGCTTCATCTTACACCATCCAGAACAGCTGCTAATTCTACAAACAATATACAAGCAATCATCTGAACTGGCAGATATTCTTACTATTCACTATTTCTCTTACAGCATTAATCAAATCTTTCCACAACAATAATTAATACAAAACTAAGCATGTGTCTCTAAGATAAATGGGGATTGGTTGGTTGGTAGGATTCTACAAATCAGCTTTTAACTACTACCCACTCTTGAAATTCAAATGCCACCATATTTTACATGTAACTATGATCTTTGCTAGAAATTCCTTCCAATCTAAGGGTACAGATCATTTTGAATGCATAATCTTTAACAATGTACAGTACATATGAAGATATGGGGCAAAACAAACAAATTTATGAACAATTTAAAATATAATCATTTACCTACCTGATTTTCCCATACTTATGCCCTTGATTTAAGAAGCTGCTTCTCCTTTAAATGCTTCCTTTTACTTGAAACTGGCTGCAATTTCCTGGTAGTGAATTTAAAGAATCTGCTTCTCCTTTAAATGCTCCCTTTTGCTAGAAACTGGCTGCAATTTCCTGGTAGTGTTCCAAGCTCCTTGACTGCACGAAACAACCATGCATAATAACGTGCAATCGCCCATTCACAGTGCTCAATAGACTACTGATGCCATATAAGGAATAAAGATTTTTTTTTTTCTTCTTCTAAACTTGAGGCTCCTTTGTAGTCAAAGATTCTTCATCCTGCAAGTAACATAGCAACACAAGAAAATACTGAATGATTTCCTGTATTGGTGAAAGCAAGAGGAAATTGGGAAGAAAGAATATTTAAGCAAAATATACTAAGGGCATTCAGTGATGCACATTTTAGCAAGAACAATACTGATCTAGGAAGTTGTTGCATGTTGCATTTTTAACAATATAAACTTTTATTATATGCATTTCTGTAATTCCAAGATATAATAGAGCAAAACATAAGCAAAGTACTCAAAGGGTTTTGTCATGCTTATATAGGTAATCATTGTTGCTGCCTGATAATGTAAACAAGTAAATAGATTTAAGCAGGGGTGAAATCTATTTACCTTCCCTACCGGTTCAGAAATGCATGCGTCATCGTCAGATCCAATTGTAGAACCTCTGCACATGCGCAAAGCCTTCTGCGTATGCACAGAGGGTAAAAAACAGATTATTTCCTGGTTAAAACCAGGAAGTAACAACATCCGGTCAGGTGGGTGGAGCCTCGCGCTGCCGCCGCTACCGATTCACCAAGCCACGCAGTGCTACTGGTTCACCTGGACCAGAGCAAACCGGTAGCATTTCACCCCTGGATTTAAGGCTACTCTTCACTTTTAACCAAACACAGCATCTTATTTGCTGTCTCTTGCAATTCAAGCCAAAATAAATGTAGAGGGCTTGCTTAGCCATGACAGCAGCTCAAATTATATGAACATAATTTCCTGCCAACTCAAGGAAAGTATTAAAAATATTAAAATATCCATGAGGAAGTGCCCATACTCAGGTACAAAGTAACACTCCAAGAACACTTCTAGCTTGTTTAAAACTCTGCAACTCTTAACTGTTAGAGTACTTGTAAATTGCTAAACAAATTGCTAAACAAAATATAGTTTTTTCTCATTTGCAGAGGATTAGCCAAATCTGAGATCTCTGAGAGCTTTACAGTTTGGTAATAAAATTCTGAGCACCACCCCTGCAATTCAAAACTGTTGATACAGGATCTTTCTTCATAATTTGTCCTTTTTTACAGAGCTTTTTTTTCAAATAGTCACTTTTTATACAGCAGTCTTAGCTACTTCTTCTCTTCTCCAGTTCTTCTCTCATTTTCAATTTACTTTTCCTATTTATCAGTGATGGCGAACCTATGGCACGTGTGCCAGAGGTGGCACACAGTGCCCTCTCTGTGGGCATGTGAGCCATCACCCCAACTCAGCTCCGGCACAATGCACTCACTCCTCCCGCCAGCCAGCTGATCTTTGGGTCACTGCTACGCATGCGTGGGGGGTGGGGCACATGCGGGCTGCATGCATGCATGCGTGGGGGCACATATGCATGGGGCACTTATGCATGGGGGGGCATATGGGGGAACCATGTACGCTTGCAGGAGACTGCATGTTCATATGGGGGCACACATGCACACGAGGCAGGAGGCATGTGGGGGGCAGGGGGCATGCGGAGGGTGCGCACGCATTGCATCTTGGGGGTTTGCGCGTGCTTTGGGCACTCGGTCCGGAAAAGGTTAGCCATCACTGCTATATATAATTGCTTTGAGTTTATTAAAATCTACATTTTGGTTATCTAAGATATAGCTGAGCAGGAGAAAGTTGTTGTACCCTGCAACCATCGAGAGTAGCCAGCAACTACCCATGTTTCCCCAAAAATAAGACCTGATCTTTTTTGACCCAAAATAAGGACCAGGTCTTATTTTCGGGGGATATCTTACCTGCTTACCTTAGGACGACCACAGCCATGTCTCCCATGTCCCAACACCTGTTGCACCTCTGCCCAACTTATCTGTGGCTGCTTGCGGCTGCCCACAGACAGATGCTGCATGGCTTATACTGGTGGTGCCACTCATGGCAAGATGCTGTGAGGCTCATTACGACAGTGGTGCCACTCGCAGCCGGACATGCGAGGCTCGTTGCGTCGGTGCCACTGCCTGCAGCAGGAGGTTGCATGGTGCATTATGCCATTGCGTGCGTGAGTCATGGCCTCAGTGTAACAAGCCTCATGGCATTCTGCCACAAACAGCAGCACCAGCATGATGAACCATGCAGCATTCTGCCACGAATGGCACCACTGGCACAATGCGCCACATGTCCAGCCACAAGTGGCCGCCAGCGGCTGCAGAAGAAGTCAGGCAGCTGTGTAACAGGTATCAGGGCGTGGGAGACCTGGCTGCAGTGATCCTAAATGGTGTGGGGCATGTGGGGCAGCTCCACCCCACCACCCATCTTGATTTTTATGCCTGCACCTTGCCCCACCTCTTATAACCAGATAGTGGGCAGGGCTTAACTAGGGCTTATTTGGGGGGTAGGACTTTTATTAGGCACAAGTGTGATAATCGGGCTAGGACTTGTTTTGGGGGTAGGTCGTATTTTCAGAGAAACATGGCTAGGTACAAATGATGAGAGGGGAAGAGAGAAGAAGGGAAAAAAAGATGGATACAATAAAGTTAAGTAAACTTTAAAAATCAAAGGAAAGAAAAAAAGATAGAGAGTAATTGCCAAATATGGCTTCCTAGACTTGTGCCTCAATCTTTCCAATGAAACAGACTGAGATAGCAACATCATTTAATTATGATTTATTTAGAATATCCTGACTCAAAAGAATTCCTCTCATTCAAAGTGAGAACCCAGATCGTCGGCTTTCAGTCCCTCTTACAGTTAACCCATCAATGAAAATGCAAGGGAAAAATTGATTGGACAGGACAAAACCTCTCCTTTTCATAGTAAATCAGCTAAATGGAGTTAAACAGGAGTTAAACATATTACAGTTGATAACACATACATCCATTTAAACAAGTCTGATGAAAGCAGATCTTGCATTAAATTTAAAATGTTAATAAAGAAAAAAAATCATAAGGTTGTTTGGAGTTCATGGAGAGACAAACTAAATACTAATTAATGCTAATAACTTTTCTCTTATCAGAAGACAAACATCAGAAAGACCATCCTATCCTAGTTTGTTGAATAAATATCTAGCATAGAGCTTACTTATTATATTTAAGAAGCTGATAGACCTATAATTAGCGGGTAGGTCTTGTGTAGTCTTTTTGTGAATGGACACAGTAATGGATTCTTGAGTTTGTGCAGTGCAATCAATGTAAGTAAACCAGGAAGCAAGAATAGGAGTCCAGCATTCCAGATTATTCCATAGTATTTCAGGTGTAATAAAACCATTGCCTTTAGTTTACCAGATTTTAGCTGATTAATCAGTATCGTATTTCAAAGACTGCTGTTGTAGGGTGAGAGCCTTTCTTTCTCTTAACCACAATCTGATGTGTTTGTTACCAGAGCTGGTACTTTGGCAGCCTTGCCTCCTGGATTTGATGGGGGCACTTAGGAATGATCGGAGGTGGCTTTTGGATAGCTGTGGACCCACCCGGGAGGGGGGATCTTGAACATTGCAACTCCCTGTGAGGGTGCAGCTGAAAAGTCAAGGGCCTTTTACCCCTCTTCTGACCAGTAGACATCTTCATAAGCAAGCCAGGACTTTTAACTTTCACTTTTGCCGTTTGCTTTTTATTTTTAAATGTCAATTGTCTGGCTGAATGCTGATTTATTTCAACCCCTGCTAGACTATCTCTTATTTCTGTTTTCTTTTTCATTTATTGGGTTGCTTTCACCAATTTATTTATAGAAACATAGCACATGTTTCTGGATGGAGAAATTGTCTATATTGGAATATATTTTACTGAATATTTATCACAGGGAATCTGGTATTTTACTAACTCAGACCAAAACAATCAGAAATTATTCTCTCTCTGTAGAGAGAGAAATGTATTTTCCCCTGTTCTGTGGGTTGGCTGTAGATTTTATTCACTGAATAAAATATCAGATTACAAAGAAGAGGAGGCTGACATGGGGCGGGGGAGAGAAAAGGATATACATGCAATCTCTACTTGAATTCGTTTGATGAATTTATAAAATCAGTGGAACACATCTTGGGAAAACCCACTTTAAATGTTTTAATCTCACAAGAGGACCCTTTGAAAATAACATGGACCTAGAAACAATGCAGACTGTTGAAAATCAAAGCCAAGAGGAGTTTTGCTTCCTAGCAGCAAAATGGCTGGGAAGAAACATGAATTTGGTGTTTTCGTAGAGTAGTAGAGAATTCTCTGGGTGGATAAGTGATATATGGATTTTTTAAAGGAGTTTGAAAGTGAGTGGGGAAACCTATTACATTTAATTGGGGAAAGATCTTTGGATTTTGGAGGGAAGGTAGTTTGGCATTGGAGAATGGATTTATTGTATTTAACTAATCAACAATTGATAAGAGATGGCACTGAGAAACAAACATGTATATTTGATCTAAAATCAATTAGGTTTATTTTTTGGGAATGATTTTGGATTGAAGCTGTGGTAAATTTTCTACAAGTTGATTACAATAACAGTTTGTTAACAAAGGGTTTTAGAATTTTAATCTTGTGTTTTTTTCATTATTGTTATTATTTTTATTATTTTATCTGTTTATATATTATTATTATTGTCTTTCCTCTTAATTATTTTGTTACTGATATAAAATTCCTTTGGCCTGTTTTGCAAGGGGTGGAAGATTAATATTGTTATATTAATCAGCATTCAGGTAGGGAGGATGCAGTGTTTATATGTGTTAATCTTTTTTAAGACACTTTTTAATGCCTTGTGTTTTTTCTTTTTCTTTTTTTCAATATTTTGGTGTTTTGTATTTTAATTTTTCTTGAATAAACTAAATATTATAAAATCAAAAAAGTGTCATATTTCAGCACTAGTACCTGGAATTCAATTTGGTAGCAAGTTGGTATTGAGATTGAAGTTGAAATTAACAAATTCTTCTTGTGAATATAATGCCCTAAGGTGATCCTGCCATACAGAAATAGATATAAAATAAGGGAGTGCCAGGAGCTTATCAAATGGGTGAGAGGTTATCAGGTGCCAAAATTGAGTTCCTGGCTTGAGATGTTATCAATAGCTGCCAGGAAATTCTTGTGAACTCTCTTTTCTGGTTTTATAGAAAGGGTTTATACTATTTTTTCAGGAGTATAAAATCTTGGATGGATGCTCCTCTGGGTTCTCTTTGTATAACTTAAATTCTCTGATCGCTTTACTTTTGAACTCAAAATGTTCTGTATTGAACCAGGATTGGGAGTAATAGATCCTACCTCTTGATCTCCTCTCTTCCTTGATATCTGGGTAGAAAGCACTGGTGGAGTAGCTGCATCAGTTGGGCAAACATCTGCAAGGCAGAATTCTCAGAACTCTTAACTATAGTATGGAGTTGCAATAGAAGCAGCTGAGAGATTTGTTCACTAAGTTGTTGGATCTATTTAATGCAGATCACCCTCACCTCTAGATCAGATTCCAGAATTGGAGTGGGATATGTTTTCATAAAACAATTAACAAAGGCTTTACGACTGTGATACTTTGAAGATGATCGCTATCAGGTTTATTATCTAGATAATTTTTGTACAAAAGTAATCAGATTAGAGTGCAATCAATTAGGGAAGGTCTTGAGCCAGCCCAATGGAAGAATTCACCAGAGAAATCACTGCTGATAGATCCATTCATTAAATTTAAATTTAGTTTGTAAAAAAGACAATCCCTTAGTTTGTAAAAGAGACAATCCCTTATACTACAATTTTAAATATTTTTAAATGCTGAGATATTAAAGGGGATTTATGACTGGTTCTTGGGGATATTGATGGAACTGAGTAAAAAGTACTTTGTCATTCATCCTGACTCAAAAGAATTCCTCTAGTTCAAAGTGGGAACCCAGATCATCAGCTTTCAGTCCCTCTTACAGTTAACCCATCAATGAAAATGCAAGGGAAAAATTGATTGGACAGGACAAAACCTCTCCTTTTCATAGTTTAGCAATACTAGAAGTTATCAATTAAACTATTAACATCATTTACAAAGTGAGAACAGTAAGTCAAATTAAAATACACCTATGTTAATCAGCAAGTACAACAATATTACAAAGTCTATGTTGTTGGTACTAAAACTCCATTCTGTGTGGCCTTCATTTCCCCCATTTGAGGTTAAAGGGCAAAACAAAATGAACTCCTTCAGCAGGATCAAAAAAGAAAATGTTGGCAAACAAAAACTTAAGGAATTTGGATCAACAGTAGCAGAGACTGAATGCACATTAATTTCAGTCTAGAAAAGAAGTAATAGATTTCTTGTGGAAAGCAGCTTTCAAAAGTTGCAGTATACATGGCAGGCATATGAGTAATAACAAACAAATCAAAACCCCTAATATAACAATCAAAATGAAACACCAAAAAATGATTTCAACCATATCAAGTTGGTAACCACAAAGTAATACAAATTTAAAAATGAAGGAAAAAAATATCAACATATACTACACTATGAAAAACACCATGTTAAAATCCACAAAAAAAAAAACAAAACCCAAAACCTTGACTCTGGTAATAGGCAGAACTAGACTTCTGTAGTCTGTTAATGGCACTGGCTATAACATAGGCATAGATTTCAAATGATGCAGGAATATTGAGAAGGACAAGTGTTAATTCAGCAACCCTAAACTAGGTAACTACCAACATAATACAGAGTGGAAGGGGTATTTCCATTTAATCAGAGGACTTGATTGTGTTGATTAATGCAATAACGGAAGTTGTGATGTCATCCTAAAAACTGAGAATATGCACATGTCATCCATATCAAGAAAAAAGGTAAACATCCAGACATTTACATCTTCATGAGTTATTCTAGTGATTGAGCAATAAAATGCATCAAGAAAGGCAGGGTCATGAAATATTAAGGAACTCTCAACAAAGGGACGCACTCCATAGGTTGTGTATCCTTCTAACTCAATAGGTGATCATGGTGTAACATTGGCTATTTTGTGTAACATGTTCTATGTCATGTAGTCCCTCTGTTCTATGGAGCAGTAAATTCTTTCAGAAAGAAAATGTAAATGTAAATAAGGCCAATTATCTCGATAACTTACAACCCTCACAATCTCAAGTATTCACTGGAGGTTGAATACAGTATATGGCAATGCAACAATGGTGAACTTGTAGTTGAAATGTTGATTGGTCTTTTCAGCAAGTGTAAATGATCCACAAGAAAGGCATAATAAAAAAGCAGGCATTGTGGTTGATGAAGGCTATCCAAGTCCAATTCCATATAGTTTTCACAATGATGGAGAACTATTCCCAAAGTGGCTGTAGTTTCTCTTGACAGGTTCCTATTGAAGTCTATTGAATCAAAAGATAATAATTAACCATCATTGTGAGGCTAACCATATATCTATTGCTATTGAGTTCCGATTCAGACCTCTTTGGACATTTTCCAGGTCTGTTCGTATAACACTTAGTTGTATCTCTATCAGGAGAAAGCAGGTTTTTCTTTCCACCCATGGGGTATGTATGGAACTTTCTCTCCTAGGCATTTCCATTGCATAGATGAGATGAGCAGCTTCCCATAGCCAGGAAGAGATAAACCAGCTTTAAAAGGAGACTTAAATATGGGTGTTGACTTGGGTTGTTCCCAATTTCTGAATCTGGCAAGTCACCTGGATATCAACATCTTGGAATAGATCCTAAAAAATAAACACAGAAAGTGAAGAAAGGATGTACCACAGTTCACCAGAACCCAAACTGCACACTTTCTTTTTGCCATAATTCCACATATTTTTCCTTGTTGGTAAAATATCTGTAAATGATTCAATTCCAAAGTCCGAACACATTCTATAAAAACCAAATTAATTTACAAAGCAAAGTATAGAAAAGATTCCAAATTTAGTTGAACATAATTAACCATTGTTGGCTCTCAAATCTTGTTAGGCTTAATTACATATTCAGACAATGTTAGGTAGTCCCCCCCCTTTTCTCCTCTAGGGAAGATAAATCAAGAGAGATTAGCATAACAGTATAACTGCAAAGCAGACCCCCATATTGTGATAGGACTATTTGCATCCACCTATATAACCTAAGGCAGGACTTGGCCATTACTTGAAATGTAAAAGTATTTAATACTTTCCATTTTCCTAAAAATTCACAGAATAAGATCTTGGAAAGCTGGGACGCTATAGGAGAAAATATGTATTTCTTCTTTCCTGGATTGTTTCCAGAAGAAAGGTTGCATTTTTTTTCCTGTGTCAGATAGACTATACTTGTCCATGGACGCTCTATCAAATATTGCAAATTTTACTTTTCCTCCCCTCTTTCACCCTATTAGATGCCATATTAAGGGACAAAGATGACACCCAGTAAACTTGTTATCACAACCCACTTAAGATTTTAATAGTAAAACATATAGGTTTCACTGACTAGCATTATGCTAACAATTCTGGAATGCTTCTGTGTCAGGCAGATGATGTAAAAATCTCTCTTGGGCAGCACAGCAAGGAAGCAATAGGATAGCTGAAAAGACAAAAGAATAGTTTACAAAAGTTATAAAGATGCAGAGGGAAAAAGAGAAAAATGCTGAGGTGCTGCGCTATGCCTGTCTCTCCGTCATAACAAAAGAAGCTGCACACAGCCCACACTACAAAGCAGAATTCACCAGAATAAACTTTGCATCCAAATAAATGTTTGATTTCCAAATTCTCTCATCTCTCCAAAGCCCGTCTTTCCCTCCTTTCATTGTTTTTCCCTTGGGGGTGCAATTCTGTCCTTTATAGCAATGTCTGTTTCTTTAAAGCAACCTCAGGGTTATCTGTCTTACCAATACCATATTTAAGTTTTTAAGTGGTAATGCCCTCTTTGGAAAATTGATTCAAAAGTAGGCTAGCTTTTTCCAAACAGAAGACATGTACTGGGAATACTGAAAAGAAGCTTTAAAAAAGGCTTCATTTTAAGAAGCATGCTAGGGACATTAGTTTGCTTAAAGCAGGGGTCTCCAAACGTAGCAACTTTAAGACTTCTGGACTTCAACTCCCAGAATTCCTCAGCCAGCAAAGCTCAAGTCCACAAATCTTAAGTTGCCACGTTTGGAGACCCCTGGCTTAAAGCTTAGCAAAAATCACATGCATTCCTTCTATTTGGCACCATTCCACAAGTAGTAATGTCTATCAGAGCGTTTGCAGTGAAGCAGCTGGCTCCAATTTTTTTTTAAATGGAGAATAATGATACCAAAGTAAAAGTTAAAAATGGAGAGCTTAAACTGAGAGCTACTCACCCGGTCTCCATCTTCAGGTCTATCCCCAATTAGGTGCTGAAACTAAATGCTCTTAACCTCTGACCTCCAATCTCAATCTCTTTTAACCCCTTCAGCTGCTAATTTTACTGCATGCCTGGAAAAGAGGGACAGAATCTGTAAATTACTTACTTTGTTAAGTGCCTGCCAGGCTGAGTAGTAGAGAAAAGCAAAGAAAAGCTTTCTGCAGCTTGTTTGCACTGAAGAAAAAGTTCACTTAAAAGAAAAAGTGGCTACAGCATAACGTGCAGCAAATGGCTGCAGCAGAAACTGGATGCTACAGAGAGTCCCATTATGTTGAACCATCTTCTGGAGCATTTCCAGAAGGGATATATAGACACTTCTAGGGTTCACCAGTTAAGAAACAATTGAGAGCCAATTGAGTGGTTAAAGTGTTGATGCAGAAACCAGGAGTCCTAGGGTTCCCTTAGGCATGAAAACCAACTGGATAACTTTGTGCCAGTTATCCTCTCCTTCCCAATCCACCTCACAGAATAGTTGTGGGGAATGAGGATGCAGAATGAGGATGCTATTTTGAGTTATATATTTAAAAAGGTGGGATTAAAATAATCTATGAAGACAAATCTCCCCTATTTTGTTTAATGATTTGGTCCTGCCTCAGTCCTTCTACTACTTAGAAGTCAGGCTGTAGCATTTCTATTCAGGGGGAGGATGGGTAGATATTTTTGCAATCATCCAGAAATTAACTAAATTAATGTATATTTACAGAAGTATATTTTAGATTTGCACTTAAAGTAATCTATTCTTTCTATCTGTCTGTCTGTCTGTCTGTCTGTCTGTCTGTCTGTCTGTCTATCTATCTATCTATCTATCTATCTATCTATCTATCTATCTATCTATCTATCTATCTATCTATCTATCTATCAGGATGTATGTATGTATGTGGCTTGAGCAATTTCAACCAAACCTGGTACACAAATGACTTACTCTCTGGAAAAAAATACTGTGGGAGTAAGACACCCCTAACACCCCTCATTGGGGGTGTTTGTGTGTGTGTGTGTAAAATAGCAACATATACTACAATATATAAAAAAGCATAAGTTAAAATCCACAAAAAAACCGATAATCTTGACTCTGGTAATAGGCAGAACTAGACTTCAGTTTGTAGTCTGCTAATGGCACTGGCTATAACATGGGCATAGATTTCAAATGATGCAGAAATATTGAGAAAGATAAGTACTAATTCAGCAACCCTAAACTAGGCAAATACCAACAACAGAATGGAAGGGGTATTTCCATTTAATCAGAGGATATATATGTTGTGATTAATGCAATAACGGAAGTTGTAATGTCATCCTAAAAGCTGAGAATATGCATACATATATGCATATACACATATTACTGGAGATAAAACTCCCAGAGTACACATACCAAATATTTATGAAGTAACACTTTATAAACAGCAGGCCCACACATCTAAGATTAACTATCCTTCAGAGTTTGTCTGCCTTGTACCATAGCATAGACTTTAAAAGTCAACACAATTGCTTGTGATGTGGGGAGACTTGCGATACACATAATTAGTGTCACTTATATCAAGAAAAAAAGGTAAACATCCAGACATTTACATCTTCATGAGTCATTCTAGTGATTGAGCAATAAGATGCATCAAGAAAGGCAGGGTCATTAAATATTAAAGAACTCTCAACAAAGGGACGCACTCCATAGGTTGTGTATCCTTCTAACTCAATAGGTGATCATGGTGTAACATTGGCTATTTTGTGTAACATGTTCTATGTCATGTAGTCCCTTCCCTCTGTTCTATGGAGCAGGAAATTCTTTCAGAAAAAAAATGTAAATGTAAATAAGGCCAATTATCTCCATAACTTACAACCCTCACAATCTCAAGTATTCACTGGAGGTTGAATACAGTATAGGGCAGTGCAGCGATGGTAAACTTGTAGTTGAAATGTTGATTGGTCTTTTCAGCATCTGTAGTGATCCACAAGAAAGGCACAATAAAAAAAGCAGGCATTGTGGTTGATGAAGGCTACCCAAGTCCATTTCCATATAGTTCTCAGTATTATGGAGAACTATTCCCAATGTGGCTGTAGTTTCTCTTGACAGGTTCCTATTGAAGTCTATTGAATCAAAAGATAATAATTAACCATCATTGTGGGGCTAACCATTTATCTATTGTTATTGAGTGCCCATTCAAACCTCTTTGGACATTTTCCAGGTCTGTTCCTATAACACTTAATTGTGTCTCTATCAGCAGAAAGCAGGTTTTTCTTTCCACCCATGGGAAATGTATGGAACCTTCTCTCCTAGGCATTTCCATTGCATTGATGAGATGAGCAGCTTCCCATAGCCAGAAAAAGATAAACCAGCTTTAAAAGGAGACTTAAATATGGGTGTTGACTTGGATTCTTCCCAGTTTCTGAATCTGGTAAGTCACCTGGATATCAACCTCTTGCAATAGATCCCTTAAAAAAAAAATCACAAAAAGTGAAGAAAGTATGTGCCACAGTTCACCAGAACCCAAACTGCACATTTTCTTATTGCCATAATTCCACATATTTTTCCTTGTTGGTAAAATATCTGTAAATGATTCAATTCCAAAGTCCGAACACATTCTATAAAAACCAAATTAATTTACAAAGCAAAGTATAGAAAAGATTCCAAATTTAGTTGAACATAATTAACCATTGTTGGCTCTCAAATCTTGTTAGGCTTAATTACATATTCAGACAATGTTAGGTAGTTCCCCCCCCCTTTTCTCCTCTAGGGAAGATAAATCAAGAGAGATTAGCATAACAGTATAACTGCAAAGCAGACCCCCATATTGTGATAGGACTATTTGCATCCACTATATACCTCACCACATATTCCACTAATAAATTACATCTTAAGAGCTATCTGAGGCACCCTACCATATTGATGTAATGAATGATAGCATATAATACTACCATATTTCCTAAAAATGCAAATATAATCTAAATAGATATAGCATACATAAACAACAAAAATAAATCCTTTCAACAAAAAACAAATTCCAAACAGAAGAAATACATTCATGACCAAGACAAAACTCTCAATATCAAAGAAAAAAACTTCCTCACAAACTAAACATGCCATAACATCCAAAAAACAACACATAATATCCAACCACAAAAACAAAAGAAACATTCAAACTGATTTACTCATGACACCAATAAACAATAATTCTGACTTACCATGTATACATGCTTTAGGTAGCATATGACAAATGGCATTCATGATTACAAATCCCTCTGGGCAGCACAGCAAGGAAGCAATAGGATAGCTGAAAAGACAAAAGAATAGTTTACAAAAGTTATAAAGATGCAGAGGGAAAAAGAGAAAAATGCTGAGGTGCTGTGCTATGCCTGTCTCTCCGTCATAACAAAGGAAGCTGCACACAGCCCACCAGAATTCACCAGAATAAACTTTGCATCCAAATAAATGTTTGATTTCCAAATTTTCTCATCTCTCCAAAGCCCGTCTTTCCCTCCTTTCATTGTTTTTCCCCTTGGGGGTGCAATTCTGTCCTTTATCAGCAATGTCTGTTTCTTTAAAGCAACCTCAGGGTTATCTATCTTACCAATACCATATTTAAGTTTTTAAGTGGTAATGCCCTCTTTGGAAAATTGATTGAAAAGTAGGCTAGCTTTCTCCAAACAGAAGACATGTACTGGGAGTATTGAGAAGAAGCTCAAAAAAAAAGGCTTCATTTTAAGAAGCATGCTAGGGACATTAGATTGCTTAAAGCAGGGGTCTCCAAACGTAGGAATTTTAAGACTTCTGGACTTCAACTCCCAGAATTCCTCAGCCAGCAAACAAGTCTTAAAGTTGCCATGTTTGGAGAATCCTGGCTTAAAGGTTAGCAAAAATCACATGCATTCCTTCTATTTGGCAGCCGTTCCTCAAGTAGTAATGTCTATCAGAGCGTTTGCAGTGAAGCAGCTGGCTCCAATTTTTTTTAAACGTCAGCTATTGTATGGTACCTTCCTCAAATTTCAGAAAGGCTCTATAATTTTAGGTTAGTTTCAGCTAATAAGAATGGTGCGTTTTAATGTTTCTTTTTTATGTATCACTCCTCTTTATTAATTATTGAGTGTTCTGGGTTTTCAAACCCTATTTTCTCCTCTTTTTTCTTTTTGCTATTTAATGACTATAATAAAGTTGATTGCTTTTGAAATTACAGCTAGAGAAGATAGATGGCCTCTTAGGTGATACAATCTAAATGATTTAAAAATTAGAAACAGAGAATAAAAGTACCAAAGTAATTGTTAAAAATGGAGAGCTTAAACTCAGAGCTACTCACCTGGTCGCCATCTTGAGCTCCATCCCCCAATTAGGTGCTGAAACTAAATGCTCTTAACCTCTGACCTCCAATCTCAATCTCTTTTAACCCCTTCAGCTGCTAATTTTACTGCATGCCTGGAAAAGGGAGATAGAATATGTTACTTAACTCTGTTAAGTGCCTGCCAGGCTGAGTAGTAGAGAAAAGCAAAGAAAAGCTTTCTGCAGCTTGTTTGCACTGAAGAAAAAGTTCACTTAAAAGAAAAAGTGGCTACAGCACAACATATGCAGCAAATGGCTGCAGCAGAAACTGGATGCTACAGAGAGTCACATTATGCTGAACCATTTGTGTATGATGACAAATCTCCCCTATTTTGTTTAATGATTTGGTCCTGCCTCAGTCCTTCTACTACTTTGAAGTCAGGCTGTAGTATTTCTATGCAGGGGGAGGATTGGTATCTGTATATAAGAATGTATGTATGCAGAATGCCCCCTCCCACATGTTGGGGTAGACCAGGTATCTCGATATAAAAATACTTTATATATACATACACACACACACACTAACACAGACACACACATATAGAGGGAGATACACACACACACACACACACACACACACACACACACACATGATCTAGCATAACTCTGGAAAGGCTCCAGGAATTTCAACCAATTCTAATGTACATCACAATGGAGTTGCCATAGTAACGGTTTCACAGAACTCCAGAAGGGGGCTCCTTCTGGTACAGGGAACTGGTTCTTAAAGAAAGATACAAAAAACAAACAAATGAAAAATGAACCCCATAGGCCTGTGATGGCCAACCTATAGCACGCGTGCTACAGGTGGCACACGTAGCCATATCAGTGGTCACACCAGCTCAGCTCTGGTTTATATGCACGCACTGGCAGCTAATTTTCGGGCCTTCTGGGCCCACTAGATGTAGGGAAACAGGCTGTTTCCTGCCTCCAGAGGGCCTGGGTGGGGGGGTGAAGGCCCATTTTTCTTTCTCACCTGGCTCCAGATCCTCTCTATGAATCTGGGAAGGGCGAAAACAGCCTTCCCCATTCCCTCGAAAGTCTTCTGGGCCTGAAAGGACCCATTTCATAACTCCCGGTGGGACAGAAAGTGTCATTTTTTACTTTCCCCAGCCTCCAGAGACTCCTAGAGAGTTGGGAAATGGGCTCTTTCAGGCCTCCGGAGGGAAGGCTGTTTTCACCCTCAGATGCATAGAGAGGATCTGGAGCCAGGTGAGAAAGAAAAACGGGCCGACCTGGCCATCACGTGCCAGGAGCAGGGGGAGGGGGATTGTGCGCACATGCACAGGGCGGCACACATAGAATTATGGGTGTGGCCACGCAAACCTCCCCTGCCCCCCCCTCCTGGCACACGATGGCAAAAAGGTTAGCCGTCACTGCCCTAGCCCCTCAGTTTCAAGCAAAGAAGGCAAGTTGTCAGGGGAGCTGCCTGCTAATGCAGATAATCACCTCAAAGACTGTTCCCTGTAGAATTTTTCCAAGGCTGTTGGCCAGGACAATTAGGTCTCTAATTCTCACCACAGTGAGTTATGTCTTTTCCTGTCTAATACAGGATTAGGATAAATAAATACCCGGGCAACACTGGGTTATCACCTAATAATAACTAAATACAGTTTTGTGTGTATGTGTGTGTGTGTGTGTGAGAGAGAGAGAGAGAGAGAAAGAGAAAGAAAGAGAAAGAGAAAGAGAAGGAGAAGGAGAAAGAGAAAGAAGTGACACTTCTCTAACAGTCATTCATTAATATTATGTTGTTACTGACTTTTATCATAATGTTAAAATTTTCCCACCTTGGATTACTCTAATTTCTTGATTCTTCTTTTTCTGCCTCTTCCTTCTTTCCTTCCACATTTCATCAGCAACAGTTTTATTTTAAAAACTAACAATCCTTTTCTTTTCCTCCCTCTATTCCAAGCCCCGCCTACTTTTCTCAGTTTACATTCCAAATCAGTATTCATGCCTATGCTTCTCTCATCTCTTTCACCTTTTCTGAATTGCTTGCAAGTCACACAGTTAAAAGGAGAAGAATGAAGACCATGGTGCCAGGAATAATTCCTTTACAACATCGTGTTTCTCTAATACAGCTTCTTTGCATACTCTCATCATTAGCGTTTCTCCCTTTCTCTCCAACCACTGGTAAGTAATGCAAATAGAGAAGAGACAAATAAGTCAAATCCTGAAGCAAACCAGTATTTCCTTTCTCCTTAGTCACAAAACTTCTCCATAATATTCAAAGGGAGCATCTATCTATCTTGAGGTGGCATATATTATCACAGGACAGAAAAGTCAGTTATTCAATCATACTCTTTCCTTTAACTTCGTATACATTTTGATTTACTTGAGGAAAGGGGAGAAATATAGGAACAGGTGTCTAGAAATGACTACTTGGTGATATTACAGAAAGGGGATCCAATCATTTTCAGGCTAAGGACTCCACTTTGTCTTTGAGTGACGAGTTGAAGCCACAAACCGAAAATTAGGCAGAGCCAGAATGAATTAGGACCAAAATTAAATTTCATTTAATGTAACTTAATTGAAATATAATTAAAATTGGTTTAAGTATATTTAGAATGATTGTTCCCTATGTTCTGTTACTTTAAGAGTAGAAATTACTAGCAGCCTTTAGCCTGGGGATGGGGGGACTCTGTGTACCCAAGGCTTTAGGGAAGATGATCTCAGGTTGTACCTTCAGTATTATGTTCAGTACTGTAACTTTTAAACAAGACAGGAATGCATGCATAGTTTTGAATTTCTTCCAGATTCCTAACAACAGCTTTATTTTCAGCCATGTGATCAAAAAGGAATCAGAATGATAATTAATAATACTCTTTATTTGAACATACTAGAAAGTCTTCTTCTTCTTCTGGTACTTTATTAATCTCTGTTCATTCCAAACTTTTATGGCACTATCTTTATAAATAAATGCTACTGTACATTCTTTCTGGATGACTTTACTATCTGTCTAATTTATATATGTGACTTTAATATTCAATGATCAATAAGGCATCTGGTCCAGGGGTAAAATCCACTAACCTTCATTACTTGTTCGCAAATGGGAGCGTGCATGTTAGCAGGCTCGCTTCACTTGCCTGCGGCAGTATGCATACGCAGAGCATCAAAAATGGGATGGGATAACATCTGAGTGGGTGGGCGGAGCCTCTCGCAGTCGGCGCTACCCTTTCGTCCAAGTCAGATAAAACCAACTGCATTTCACCAGTGATTCAGTCACATTTCCTTCTGCTAACTTCCATTTTTCCATCATTGGAATTGTTTGCAACTATATTTTTAGTAGCTCCCTTCTTTTAGGGGGTGAGACACCTTGTATACCTTTCATTTTGGCTTCCTTGTCAAAAAACCCTACTTCTCTGAATTTATTAATATGTTTTGTACTGTTTATTAATATGTTTTAATTTATTAATTTGAAGACTGCTATTTCAAATATTTCCATTTACCATTAAATGTTTCCTATTGATTAAAATAATCAAAGATAGCCAAATTCCATATATCATTTTTCACCCTTTGAAAAAAAAGGGGGTTGTCAAGCAAGTTGTCAGCAAAACTAAAAGTTTCCAAAAGAAGTATGTTTGACTGAATTTGTAATTAAATTAAATTCCCTATTACTACTTGATGGTTCCAACATTTATGCAATTTGTTTTTGGGATTGTTGATAATAGAACCTGGCAACAATACTGGTTTTATTTCTTATTTATTCTTCCACTTATTTTAATCCAATGCTCTCTACTGCACCATCAAGTTCATTTTTATAGATTTCTGAACAAATGAGAATACTTTTAACATACTGCAGTTTTAATTACACTCTATTATACTCTGTGTATTGACGTATAAAATGTAAATTCAACAGTGAATTTTTTAAGCCAATGTTTTTTCTGAATTTCAGTTGAATACCTTAATGGACTCCAATATTTTTCACTTCCTTGGGCAACCTCTTGGTCCTAATTTGTGGTTTTCAACCAGAATTTGAAGCTTGCGTGTTTGCATCAAATCCTGTTTTCCTTCAATCTTATTTGTTTAATTCATTAGATATTACCATTATTCAATCAAGAATGAAAGCAGTTAATGGAATCTGCTTGGGTTATCACAAAATAGAAATGTATTACATAAATAAGCTTTTTAATATAAACTTTGATTTTTTTTTCATTTCTGTTTTCTATTCCTATTCTATCAGCATTTACCTTTTCTTTGACTTTTCTGTTTTCTTGTTCCTGGCTGGACTTCCTGATTCTTCTCTCTTCCAAATCTTTGCCTTGGAAGATTTGGAAGATTTTTCTGGAATTAATTATGTCTAATCTAGTGAAAATAAGGACTATTTTCCAAGGAATGGCATGCTCCAGTTTCGGCAATCGTTGCCGACAAGGTTAGCCGTCACTGGTATAGGACAGCGGTCACCAATTGGTGGTCCATGGACCACTTGTGGTCTGCAAGAAAATTTTGGTGGTCCGCAGAAAAATTATTTGCATTTTTTATATTGCACTAAATCAGGGGTCTTCAAACTATGGCCCCTGGGCTGATACGTGCAATAAACATTTGCATTGCTGTGGAGAATCTCCCCCTTTGGGGTCTTTTTGTGTGACTCGGAGTGGGGCAGAAATTCCAACTTTGAGTCTGCTTCAGCCTCCTGGTGTGGGGCTTTGGGCAAAGGCTGAAGGGAAGTGCCGCTGGTGGAGAAGAGCCGGAGGTCTTTGTTCCAGTGGCACTGCATCATGGCCTGGAATTGGCTGACCATCTCAGTCCCCTGAGCCTACAGGCACCAGTACATGGCCTTGCACTCCCGCAGGTCTTCCCTCTGCTTGGAAAGCCTATGCTCCTAGTCCTCAGTTATATGCTTCTGCTAAGCCTCTTTCTCGGCCAGATCCAATTTGAACTGAACTATTTTGCCAACTCTTTCTTATGGTGGCTGCTTAGCGCCAATAACTGCTTCCTGTTGGGGCACTAAGGAGCCTGGGCAGGCAGGCGAGTAGGGGCTGGGAAAGGAGGGGCGAGTAGAGGCCGGTGAGGTGCCCCTCAACGTGAGTAACATCGAGTTGACTACACCCACCCAATCACATGACCACCTAGCCACACCCACCCAGCCAGTCATTAGGCAGATCATATTAGTGGTCCATGGGATTTAAAATTATGAATTTAGTAGTCCCTGAGGTCCAAAAGGTTGGTGATCCCTGGTATAGGATATCCTGCTCAAGCAGAAGGTTGGACTAGAAGACCTCCAAGGTCCCTTCCAACTCTGTTATTCTTTGTTCTATATTCTATCTGAGAGAAACAATATGAAGAATTTATACTTTATGTGAGGTCTAAAAGAAGGAACACACCAGAGGCCAACTTTTTGCCCAGTTTGGAGAACCGGCTAATCCCATCTTTGGCTGGACCCGCCCCTTCCAGGAGTCCCCCTGTTGTCTGTTTTGGCTTCCAGGTTGGTGTAGGAGGCCTTCCAGGCCCAAAATGGGGCATGGGGGCATCGTGTGGCCCCCTGCAGCCCGTTTTGACTTCCAGGTTGGTGCAGGAGACCTTCCAAGCCCAAAACAGGCCCTCCCAGCCACACTTTTGGCTTCCAGGGTGTTGCAGGAGGCCTTCCAGGACCAAAACCCCTGCTCTAGGGTGAGTTGGGAATGGGAATTTTGCTTTATGATTGCTCATAAGTAGGTACAAACCAGTAAAAGTGGGATGGGAAAATCCCTATCTGTAGATCATCATTTTTCAGTCTTGGCAAATTTAAGATGGACGAACTCCATGCTGTCTCTGGAATTCTGGGAATTGAAGTCCATGCACCTTAAAGTTGCCAAAGTTGAGAAGCATGGGTCTACACTAGAGCTCAGGATTTTCCATTCCTGTTTTATTTAGAGTTTGGTGCAATTAAATAAATCAGTTGTGGTTTTGTTAACAAATAGTGATTAAAGTGATATGAACCATTACTGGACTTTTTGTGAGAAACTGAAATTAAAAGTTGATCTGGGCTTTGATTAAATAAGGCAATGATGGCTAACTTTTTTCTCTTCTTGTGCCAACCCCACGCATGCGTGCATGACCCCTCCGCCTCTCGTGCATGTACACGTGACTCCCCACACGCCCCCAGCCCCCATGCACATGCGTGCAAGGGGTGGGATTAAAACATTTTAGCAACTTGCACCACGTGGGGATAGATTTCAAATGATGCAGAAATATTGCGAAGGACAAGTGCTAATTCAGCAACCCTAAACTAGGCAAATACCAACACAACACAGAATGGAAGGGGTATTTCCATTTAATCAGAGGATTTATATGTGTTGATTAATGCAATAACGGAAGTTGTGATGTCATCCTAAAAGCTGAGAATATGCATATGTATATGCACATACGTGTACTACTGGAAATAAAACTCCGAGAGTACACATCTCCTTGCACCCCAGCCCCTGCATATCCTGAAAATCACCTGGCTGGCAGGAGGCACATGGACTCAGAGAGGGCTCACACGTACCATATGTTCACCATCACGGAAATAGGGGATAATGGAAATAATGTGGACAAATGTTAATCTTAGAGTGAGAGTTTGATATATTTTTTTACACACACACACATATATATATAAAAAGCAAAAAAAGTTGGAAATCATTCTTTTTCAGTTTTCTGAAAATTGAAAAAGTTTTCAGAAAACCTTTCTGAAAGTTTTTCAGAAAAACTTTTTTTGGTTTTTCTTTTTTTCCTCTTTCTTTCTTACACTTCCACTCTTTTTCTTTCCTGAGCCTTTTCTTTTTTCAAATAAGTTTTTTATTTGTTTATTCCCTAGCTTTGTATTATTGTTTTTTTATGTATGAAGGATCAAATATTCAGCCATTACAATTCTACATTCCTTACTTACAAAAATCATATCAAAATTTAGAATGAAATCCACTGGGAGCCATCTCATATAATGTAGTTATAAACCAAAAAGTGTTTCTCGATAGAGAAAGCTTAGGGTTGAACTGTCGGTTTCTTGATGCTCTCTGAGCTTGATGGTTTTCTTGCAGATGTTTCATTACCAAACTACCAAACTAGGTAACATCATCAGTACTAGAAGAGTGGAGTTTGCTCTTATGTTCATATACTAGTGACTTACCCTGTCAGTGTTGATCAATTACTTCACAAAAAGTGTTTTGATTGGTGCCGGGTCTCTACAGCCTCAGGCAGAGAAAGGCTATTCTGCACCTCTCCCTCAAATGTTCTTTAAAATACAGTTTCCCAGCATTCCTTTAGGAACCTCCAACATGCAAACTGTGGTTACTCATCCTAAAGTGTATCCTCAAGTTTACCTGAAGCTTCAAATTTTGCTGTTTGCTGGGGAGACGTGTAGCTTAAAGTCAATCTACATTTAATGTACATCTGACTTTGGGGATATTTCTTCATAACGAAACAAAAGTGTATTTTCTGTTCAGTTCTCACTCCTTGCTCGCTGGCTCTGGATGTCACAAAGCAAAGGCCGCATTTTGTAATTAACCCACGTGCCCCATTGTGGGAATGGTGTGATCTCAGTTGTCGGCAAACCGTGCTGGGTAAACAATGTCAGCACAAAGTCCTAATCTCATCAAAGACAGGATGTCTGGCAGAGACCCTATATCAAGATATGCAAGGCATGGGGACCCAGCACGTAAGCATTGTTTGTCACAGGAAAGGACATGAGGGGAACACGAGGGATCCATATGGAATTCACGAGCTTTCTTTAGCCAATCAGTATCAGTAAACATTGATTAATGTTTTGCCATGATAGTTGTAAAATGACAATAAAAGGGAGCCTTTTGAATGGGGTCAGGGTGCCTTGATCAAGGTGCCTTCCACCCGAGGGGCCTTCCCGTGAACCATCTTCCTGCCTACGCGTCTTTCTTCATCGAAACAAAACCCCATTTTAACTGGCACAGTGCTATAGGAGGCTGAGTGCTGTCCCACCCCTGCCCACGCCCACCTGGCCATATCCACCCAGCTGGTCATTACAGCAGAGAACCGGTTGTTAAATTATTTGAATCCCACCACTGGAACAAACTTTCTTAGTGGAGCTCACTATGCTTTAGTTTTATCCTTTCTTCATGAGACTTGTGCTTGCAGAACAATAGCCATGTTGTCTTTCCTCCTTCCTCCTCCTGTTTGATTGGCAGTTGGCTTATGCCGACGATTTATACTGTACTGTAGGAAATGACCAGGCTGAGCCCAAAGAATGGGCCAAATGCTTCATCAGGCTTGAGTCCTTTCACACCCAGAAGGGATCTAAGTCCAGCGCACTTGGAGTAACACGGACTCTCCTCTACTGCCAATTTGCTTTGACCATTAGTAATTCAGATTCTTACAGAGAGCGTGCAATAAAAGTTTATATTCATTTGAACTTCCTGGATTTCCAGATTTCCTTGGCATTTGACAAGTATACCATCATTCAATATTTCAGACATTCATGCCTTTTCTTGAACTCCTTCACTCCTTTCTTCTTATTGTATTCCAATAAGAATACAATAATTTTCTTCATACCAAAAGATAGCAGCATTTTTATCCTCAGTGAGTTGTTTGTTTCCTTTAAATTGCCTTTTATTTCTTAGTGTTTAGCGGAAAGAGAAGTAAAATTATATTTGTTAGTTTTGTTCATTTTCTAGACATTAGTTGATGGAAATATAACTAAGAAAATATGTCTTTGACTGGCCAAAGTGAGCATATTATTTCAGAAGTCTACAATGTTTTGTTAGATAAGTGATGTACAGTTAGACTAATAATGTGTATGCGGATGGCCTAATTATTTTAATCAAAATCATAATATGCTTTGTAGAATTGTGTTTTGATTTATTTTCTCTCTTTGTTACTTCTTATTGCAGAAGTTGGAAGTCCATGTTTTATGAATAAAATGTGCCACTTAAGGAAAAAAGCTATATATTTGAAGAGAGATATTAAAAGCATATCACAAACAAAAAAAACTCTATACAAATCTATTATTTCTGCCACAGGAACTCAGCAAACTTCTATTCAAATAGTTGGAACAGAAGAAAAAATTGGTAACATGGGTTTTTTTCATTTGTTGATTTTAGACAGCTGTTTAAAAGCTGTCTTTTTATTGCTCTTATGACGGGGGTTCATAAAACCATTGAAGGCCAAACCATGAATTGATCCAGTCAAATGTTGGATTTGTTTTTCTCTGCTACAAAATAGATGTAAGAAATTATCAGGCTAAGCCTGAGGGAGGGGGTCTAATGCATCATCAGTCTTCAATCCCTTCGCAGCCATAAGAGATTTAAGTCCAGCCCACCTTAAATTCCATCAACTACCAATTTGCTTTGACCATTAGTAGTTCAGATTTTTGTAAAGAGCATATGCTTGAACAAAACCTATATATTCATTTGAACTGCCTGAATGTCTGATTTCCTGCTCTTGACAGTAGACAATTGTCACAATATGGTGAGAAATCGCAACCTCTTTATACTGTTCAGTGCAAAGAGGTATGCTCTTGGGGCTACTAAAAAAATCAAGAGCCCCTCCATTCATAAGGTAGCATAGCTTTTATACACTTTTAGAAAACAATGGCACATGATCATTAGCAAGTAGTAGGCAATAAGCAACAGAGTATTCATGCCTCTGCTAGAAGATGGTCCTCCCAGAAGGTGGGTTCATTACTAAAACGTTACTCACCCATCAGTCCCTAACTGATAAGGCTGATAATTAAGTATGCAAATTTCTCTACTTAATTTATCTGCAACAGGAAAGGGATGTTAGGGCATTTCGCCTAATCTGTTTACAATAGGAAACGGGGCCAGCCTTGTTTCTACTGCTGCCCTTCTTCAGGATGGTACATGTTCCCTTCATTAGGTTATCACATAGCTTAGCAGTAATTTTAGGGCAAGGATCTCAGGCCTAAGAATGAGAGACGCCGAAGACAGAAACATGAAAGTTTTTCAACAAAATGGGATTTCTCTGGATAAAAGTAGCTCTCCGTCATAAACTAGTAATCCACTGAATTAGGAGTCTTAAATTGCACCTAATTTAACATTAAACATTTCCAATGAAGAACTTCTAGCACTGTCACTGAAAACATTAGGCATCTTTTCCACTTCTTATGGTTGGAGTAGATAGCAGATAAAGGTTATTGTAAATTTCCTAGTTCCTATTTGTGATTTGCAGCCTCCCCAAAACTATCCTAAGGTTAGTGGAGCTGAAATGTTCAGTTGCTTGAAGAGAAAATGGGTAAACTTTAAAATAGCTGCCATAAGCTTTTCAAAGTTATGCAAAGAGTACCTATTCAGTCCACTGATCTAGTGATTATTGGCATTTTCTCTGCTGCTTATATGTAGATCATAAAACTAGCCACCAGTGTTGTTCCCCCTCCCCAAACCAAGAAAAGTGGTGCACACTTACCTTAATAGATTTTCTGTGCTAAGAAAAAAATAATATGCTTGAGGAAGTCCATTGATATGCAACAAAAAAAACTATTTGGAATGGTAAGCAAGAGAGAACATTTTTAACATAGGTGCGCGTTATTTGAGTTAACCCAAGCATGACTTTTTTACGTTGGATATCTATAGTATTGTTTAATTATTACACCTACGCTGAGAGGAGCCAATGTCCTTGTCCTTAAATGATAAATGAAACTCCACATAGATTTATATACCTACAGTGATTGTCAGTTAACAACCACTCATTCAGCAACTCTATAAAGTTACTATGACATCCCTACAGCCCTATAATCATCATCACAATCATGATTGATGACCTTTCCTCCTGGCTTCTCACAAGCAGTCAGTGGGTCAGAAGTTGCAGTCACGTGACATCCTTGCTTAAAGACCTGTCCCCTATTACTGTTGCTTCACAATAGTAACTGGGGACTGCCAGAACTGCCATCACTAAACAGCACACTAAGGAGAACTAACTCTACAACAAATATATTATGTCTTCTTAGTGATGGCAGCTATGTGACATCACACTTTATAGTGATATCACTTAGCAATGATAATTCTGGTCCCATTTACAGCAAACACTGTGAAGCGATATGTAAGTCTAGGTGCTATTACTATTAAATGAGGAATACCTCTATAACAAATATATTATGTCTTCAATCATTTTAACTTTGTATGAGGATATAAGTAGGCCCTAATTTTTAGTTTTGTCTTTATTTTTCACAACTTCTCCTTTTTGTAATCTTACAAATCTTATACAAAAAGTAGATGTATATGCTTACAAATGTTCTTGGGAAAAACAAGAACTTTCTATCTAGCTGCCTGCATAATTTCCCTCAGGCATCTGGCAGGCAGGCAGACTGACAAAACATTAAAGCTGTAAGAGAAGAAATAATCACAGTCACTGCCATGGCAGCTCATTCTACTACACCCAAGAAAGTGGCATTTGTTTCTGCTGAACTTGTCAAACATTGAAGGTGTACATTTTTCCTCATGGTTAGGAATAAAAAATGGCTGAATTTCTTTTAGAGTCTCTTGATCCTTCAGAATTAAGATATCCCAGGATGATACATAATGACAAGTCCAAGTTACTGGGTAAGCTCCATGGTTAAACAAATCCACATCCATGTCCCTGATGCAATTAATTTACAATTACATTAATTCCTTGAGGGAGAAGTACGATGAAAATAAAGCAGGCTTACACATTTCATCTTTGTAGGGGATATTAATTATCAGGGCTCACTATAAATAGATATTTATTGCTTTATTAAATAATAATAATAATACTTATCAATAATTATTGAATATTTGCTCAAAGTAAATGTTTTATCATCACACATTAACTACAGAGTTTCTCTGAAGAAGAAAATGTCAAATTTAAAACTTTACAGAAGGTCCATTTTCCTTTTTTTATTGCTCTGAATTGGCCATGTGGTTTTTTTCCTGTTCTTCTCTTTCTGGTTTATTATATGAGAAAAATACATGAGGCCATTTTTCTCAGAATTTATAATTTTTCTCTCTAGTTTAGAGCACTAAGCCCCTAGACCCATTTTTATAGCAGCCAGAGTAGTGGTTCCATATTTAATTGAAGATTATCTTCTTTCTTCCAATTTCTAATTTCAGAATTATCCTATTCTCATATTCTAAGCCTAGTTTCTCAAGTGTAATTTTTTGCATACTTAAAAAAACCTTTCAGTGGAAAATATGCATTTGATTGAGAAAACAAATTCAGAAAAATATTGTGTTCTCTACTTCCTTCTCTAATCATAGAAAGTAATCAAATGCCTATGCATTTAATACATAGATCATTCATGGAAAGAAAAATTCTAAATTTTAAACCTCTAAATTCTAAACCTCAGTTCCATGCAACAAAAATGTATTAATATTTTTTCAGTAATTTATTTTAATGGAAAAAACAAAACTTTTTTTGTTTTTGTAAGCTAACATATTATATATAATATCATATATATAATATAATAATATTCACCAAACCATTCTTTTTTATTTACCATACAGAAATAAGCCTTTATGAAATATTATTAGCATTATTTTTGTTAAATTGTATATAATCTTGTATCTCATGTGATTTTTTCCTACTTTAGTTCCAATATATGTTGTTATTGATTCCAAAAAAATAATTCTAAACTGCTTAACTGAAAAACTATTAATGCAAAGAATCATTGATCCAAAATATCAATGGACTGGTCCCAGAGGACGAATAACTAAAGGTAATTATTGGTTTATTTGTAAACAAAATCAGAAATGTTGCTCTTAATATAATTTATTTGTGTCGGGGTAAGGAACCAGATCTTTTGGGGCAATTCCAATTCCAACATCTTAATATTGTGCCATTAAAATTGGCAGCAGAGCATTGGTTTTTGGTGAATTTTCTCCTTTTGGGGAATAAAAGAAGGGGGAGAACGGACTGGCGCCCCAGCTCCGATTCTTACTCCCTGCAGCCCTTGCTGATATAGGCTCTCACCGATAAGAAAAAACTACACAAAAATAAATAAAAACCTCACGCCAAACACCTAAATTGGACAAAGTTAAACACGAAGAGAGAAAAACACATCAGCCTTTAGTCACTGAGTGAAAAGACTGGTGCATTATGGGAGGAAGGGGCGTGGCCACAGGACGAAGAGAGATATAGTTGAAATTTCACCCAGTCAAAAGGAACTGATGATGAAGAAACCCAGCTATGGACAGCAGGAGCAGTACTCTGGAAAAAAGTATCTTCTCCACTTTCAGAATATAATTGCATTACTGACAAAAGCTCTGTAATTCTTGCAGGTGAATAAGTAGAACTTCTTGACATAAAATGATTGCTTGCCCCTGCTATAAAGTAATCCATACTGAATCAGGTGGTTGCTTGTATATAGCACTGTGGCAAATCAAATTATGTGAGGTATGCCTTTTTTGCAGATATGATAGGCTTATATAATTTTATGAAATCTTCAAAAAAATTGTTATTATATCACTGTTTCCATAATACTGGTTCTGCTGCATGTTTCTTTAAAAGTAGTACTGTGCTAGGCCCGTAATGGAGAACCTATGGCACGCGTGCCAGAGGTGGCACACAGAGCTCTCTGTGGGCACGTGTGCTGTCGCCAGCTGCTCTTCCAGGTTTTGTCACGCACATGCGTGCTGGACAGCTGCTTTCTTTCTGGTTCTGGTTCCATCGTGCGCATGTTTACATGAAACTAACCCACAAAATTGCTGTATCTGGTAACTGCCATACCCCAGCCTAGCACAGTGATGGCTAACCTTTTTGGCACCGAGAGCCGGAACCTGGAAGAGAGCAGCTGGCTGGCGCACATGTGTGCAACGGAACCCGGAAGAGGAGCTGGCTGACGCACACATGTGCGTCAGCCAACTGCTCTTTTCTGGTTTCTGGCACTCGGTGCTGAAAAGATTAGACATCACTGTGCTAGGCTGGGGTGTGGCAATTACCAATACAGCAGTTTTGTGGGTTAGTTTCATGCAAGCAAAATGAATTCAGCAAAAACCAAATTTTTGCTAATATTGATGAAAGCATGTTGAAGAATGATTTATTATTAAATTGTTTTTATTGTTTATTATTTGTAAATTAAATTGTTTCTTTTGCAATTTGCATTTTTGAAGTAAGTAAAAAGACTTATAAATTTATGATAAAGAAGCTTTGGAGAAAAGAAGTAATTTAATAGAATTATTTTGCACCAGAATTGGAACCATTTTATTTTATGAATTTGTCTGCTAATTTTGATCTAGGTGTCATGTATTTGTTGATTTTTTTTCCCAGTTAGTGCATAGAACTTCCAGACAGAATTCCAATCCCACTAGAAATCATAATACCCTATCCTCAAGAAGATTATATCACAATTAGTGTCTTGAGTGTGTACTCTTTCCTTATTTCTTTCCTTATACAATAATACAGATGTCATTCCCCAAATATTTTCCTGCCATTAGATAGTCTATGTTGTTAGTGGTGACAATTCCAGTTCACTTACCCACCCACCTCCCATGTTCCTGCCACTGTGGTATTCTGCTAGTAATACAGTGAGCCCAAATGCAGTGTATCTGGCACACTACTAAAAATAAATTGACAAGCAACAGAAAAATACCACCTGGTTTAACATATAAACTCAGGGAATATAATTTTGAATAGTATTGTTAGATTAGTAGATAGGTAACATATTGAATAAATAGCAAATACTAATATTTAATTTTTGTTCTGAACAAAACTTAAAAGTGAAGAAAAGCTTGTGTGGTAATGATGACCCAATATATGAACATAAAAGAAAACCGATACACTCGAATTGAACACAATAAGGAACAGCTTTCATAAAAAATGAGCCTACGCATGTAGCTAAAGAGCAAGATCTATGCAAACATGTCACTTTTAAAGAAAACAACAACCAAGTCCCTACTATCTATCCTAGCCCACTCCAATGAAGCCCCTCTGGAACTGAACAATTGCTTTCAGAGCATCCATCTGGAAGAAAATATACAGACATTCACAAAGGAGCATTCATTCATAGTTCCTAAAAAAGAGCACAACCCAGCATTCCTGTGAGAGGAAGAAAAGTATTCCAGACTTCCGTAGGGGGTGGGGGAAAGCAAACATTGGTGATAGGAAATTCAATTCTTAGGGGAACAGAAACTAGACTCTACAGACCGGGCAGTCAATCTAGGGAGGTATATTGTCTCCCTGGAGTAACAATCAAAGATGTAACTAAGTACCTTACTAATATAATCAACCCCATGGATTATTACCTGTCTTCTCTTACACGTGGGAACAAAGACACAACAATGAATCTGAAAACAATAACATGAGATTACGAACAGCTAGGGAAGAAAGTTAAAGAAGTAAGAGCACAAGTGATGTTTTTATCTATACGTCCAACAAAAGGCCAACATCCAATGAGGGAGCAAAGGATTTTAGAAACAAACCACTGGCTTAAAAACTGGTGTTGTCAACAGAATTTCAGCTTCCTAAATCATGGTCTGCATTACCTACAGGAAGGGCTATTGGCAAGGGATGGACTGCACCTCACAAGAACTGGAAAGAATAAATTCAGGAAAAAATAGCTCATCTTTTGAGAAAACTTTAAATTAAAATTGTGTGGGAGGGAGGGGCAATCTTCATGACCTTTATAACCTAATTCCAAGCAAAAACCACTAGATAACCAATCACATAAGGAGAAAGGAAGTAAAGAGAAAAAGGAAATAAAAAAGAAAAACATAATGAAGTAGAGAATGATGGAAATAATGAAAATCCCAGTTACAAAGTGAGAGATATAAGAAACATACCCAAGACCCCTTAAGGACTCAAATGCCTATACACTAATGCTCAAAATTTAGGGAACAAACTATTCAAAAGAAACTAAAAAGAAAGCAGAGTTGCATATTATATAAAAGATCACTATATCTCTACGGAAATACAGAAAACCAGGATGAAAACCTCCCAGAATCCATATGGGTCAATATAAAATGACATTGCTATTACAAGCCACGCAACCAAGGAGAAGAAATAATTGAAAACTTTGTTAATCAATTAATAAATGTATGTAGGAAACATACCATAGTAGTAATGGGAGACTAACCTTGATGTCAACTGGGAGATAAACTTTGCAGTGGGGGATCGAACAGATTCCTAACCAACTTAGCTGACAACTTTGTCATCCAAACGGTAGAGAAGGGAACTAGAGGAAAAACTGTACTGAACGTAAATCTTACTAATAGAGAAGTGATAGAGGGAGTTGAAATTGCTGGAACATTGGGTGAGAGTGACCATATCATACTGGAATTTAATATAATCCAATCAGTGTTTTAAAATTTAAAAGAGTTGATTTTAACAAACTCAGAGAAAGCCTAAGCAAAAGTTCATGAAGGGGGAAACAACTCAAGAAGCGAGGGGAAACTTTGAAAAATAATAAAATAAAAGCTCAGTCCAGCACAATACCATTGAAAAAGGAAAAACTAGAAATCCAAGAGAAACCACCATGGTTGCAAAAGATCTGTGTGATGAACTGAAAGACAAAAAGGATAAGTACAAAAAATGGAAAGAGGGACACATAACTAAGGCAGAATATCAACAGCTACCCCAAATCTGCAAAAATGAAATCAGGAAAGCAAAAACTCATAATGAACTAAGACTAGCAACAAAAGTCAAAGATAATTTTAAAAAAGTTTCTTTCAACATATAAATAACAAGAAAAACGTCAAGGAAACAGTCGGTTCACTAAAGAGAGAAGATGGCAAGGAAGTAACAGACAATAGAGAGAAAGGAGAGCTGCTTAACCTATTTGCATCAATCTTCACGCAAAAAGAAACACTAACCCAACCTTCCAAAAAATAACTATCAAAGACAAACTAGAAATAAAAATTAAAATAAGCAAGAAAATGGTAAGAGAACACCTGTCTAACCGTGTTATTGTATTATGTCTTTTTAAAATGTTGGAGCTACCAGAGGATTGGAAAAGAGCTAATGTGGTTTTTCAAAAAAGGAAGAAGAAGAAAAAACAGATCTAGGAAACTGGAGACTAATCAGCCTAACATCAGTACCTGGAAAATACTGAGGGGGGGGGATAATAAAAAAACAGATCTGTAAACATCTACAAACAAATAAAGTTATAACTAGTAGCCAGCATGGGTTTCTTAAAAACAGATAATGCCAAACTAATCTTATTTCATTCTTTAACAATGTGACTAAATTAGTAGATGTGAAATGTTGTGGACATAGTATATTTAGACTTCAGCAAGGCATTTGACAAAGTAGACCCAATCTACTTCTTGGTAAGCTAGAAAAATGTGGGATAGACAGCATCACCACCAGATGGATTTCTAACTGGCTGACAAACTGTACTAATGAGTACTCCTTAATGGTACTATATCTACAATATATGGAGGGAAATAAGCAGTGGGGTACTGTAAGTTTCGGTCTTAGGCTCGGTACTCTTCAATATTTTCATAAAATGAGGGAATATAAAGTGAATTTAGTGTCAAATTTGCAGATGACACTAAGCTGACAGGAATAGCCAACACCCCAGAAGACAAGTTCAGGATCCAAAAAAGTCCTGGCAGACTTGAATAATGGACCCTATTCAACAAAATGAAATTTAATGTGGAGAAAAGCAAGGTTTTACAGCTAGACAGGAAAAACCAAAGGTACAAGTACAGATTAGATGAAACCTGGCTCAAAAACAGTAACTGTGAGAGGGACCTTGTCCTAGTGGACGATCACTTAAAT